GGACCATATATAGGATCACACAGGTTAGCTGTGCTATTTGAACACACTGTCACACACACGAGGACTCACAAAACCGTGAAATCGTACATATATACCGATGTTGCAAGGGTAGGGACGGCATTAGCTTACATCAATTTTCCACACAAGTGTGTAACGATTGCCGATCCAATGCAATGTGTACTAACTTTTTTCAACGGGTACAACGTACACCAATAGTCCTTGTGATTAGACATGCTATATGGTTACGATAGCACTATCTCGAGAGTTAGTAGGCGATCTTGTGCCAAATGGGGTCGTACCGTACACTTCCTCGATCAGTGTACTGTTCTGCTCGTGGGGTACTCGACAGAAAGGTTTTGCCCTCTCGAGTGCAGGAGCACATCTCCGCCCCCCACTCCTATCCTTAGTAAATCTCGATACAATGCAATACATACAAGTATTCCTTATAACTTCCTCAAACCGAGACAGTACAATGTATACCGGTACGCGTTGTACACACCCACTGACCTGCATCACCACGTCAAGGCACTGGACAGTCCGTTTGCCGTCCACACACTTGGAGTGTACCACCAGCGCACACACACTGCACATGACCGGCGTGGTCTTGACTGAGCCTCCGCACACCTCACAGTACGGGCTCTTGATGCTGCCCGAGTGTTTGTCGAATGTGTGCGCAGCCTCAGTGACCTGCGCGTACTTTGCACCCACTTCCGGTACCACCAGCTCGAAGTTGTGTCGTTTGAAGATCGCCTCAGAGATGGGAGTGGCGGGGAGGGCGATCTAGCAGGAATGGGATGAGAGAAGGTGAAATGTGTTCAAGGAGTACTACGCGCGAAGGAAGGACAAGTGGAAGGCCCATAAGTGTAATTGCTCATTGTTTTATGTGTAGGTTATGTGGACGCGACGGTGGTGTATAGTGCAATGATCTAAGATTTTTCGGGCTATTGAGATATCCGGATCGATTTTGAGATTCATGTAAGATTCTGATGCCACATCTCCATCATGAGAGAGGATACTACTACACAATAAACAGCATGCCTTTGATTAAAAGGGTGCGTCGCGGTATGACAACATGCACAACGATATAGGCATTGGCTGAAATACTATCCATATATGCATAATAATAGTACATGTAAGAATAGTATATACACACATATATATATATATATATATATATAATAATATATATACTACATATCTACTA